AATATTTATTTGAATATATTCATATTGCATATGGAATATTGCATATTCATATATTCATAAGCATATGCTTAAGTTGATACAAGTTAAAGAAAATGAAAAAGAAAAAAATATTAAACGTTTTTTTTTTACTTTTTTTTTTATTTTTCATTCTTTATAGCTCGAATGTACTTGGTTTTCTAAATAAATATTTACTTAGAAATTTTCTCATCAATATAAGTGAAGCTTTTATGATAATTGAAAAGTAAAGTTATTTTAAAAGTTATACTGTCCAGTAATAGAGTCTATTAGAAAAAAAAGTTCATGAATTTTATTAAACAAAACGATACCAGGTGATGATAAGCATACTAAGTACCAAGGTAAGTGTTTGATAAGAAATCTGCATCGAAAATTTTTCAATTGAAGACATCGGAGTTAATGCTGCGCCAGTGAAACATTTTTTTTTTTTTTTTCCAAAAAATGTTACATAGCATGCAAAATTTTTTTAATGATGCTCATTCTCTTCTGGCTTTGATCTCCTTAATTTTATTTAAAGATGTTTTGTTTTCAATTTTTTGAATGCTCTTTCTATTAATATATTTAACATCAAGTAATAAAAATAATTTTATTTTCTTAACAAATAATCGATTTAACTTCTTGAAAAAATGATGAATGTCATAAATTTGTAACTGTTCAATATATGATTGAACTTACTGTCACGTAGCTTAGTAAAATTCTTCTTGAATTGACTAATATATTTTTTTAAATAATTATACTTATTTTAACACGCCGATCTATATATATTTTTTAGCAAAAATATTTTATTGAAAAAATTACATTTAGAGAAAGTTTTTATTTATAAATTTAAAAAAGTATTAACATTCTAGTTGTGACTTTTGTAATCTACGGTAAAAATTTATTATACCAAGTAATATATAATAAGTATAAAAGTATTTAAATTGTAACTTTGAAAATTTGAATTTTGACCTACAAAAATAAATTTTTGGATAATTAATATTACTGTAATGTATTGAAGATGTTTCGCACAGGAAATAATATTGCTTGAAAAATTTTTTTAGTTTGAAAGATATACCTGACATAACTGACTTTTATATTATAGAGCAATTGAAAGAGAAGACTAATATAAAAATTAATTTATGTTGATAAACCTATTTAAATAATCACAATCATCATTAAATGATGAGTTTTAGTTATTTATTTAACACTTATAACAAATCAAATGCAAATGAAGAACGTGGACTTATATTTATAAAAACAAAAAAATTTTTTAATGATAACCGACTGATGTGAATTTTTCTTATACTTTAACCCTTCGTTACTCGCGCTATGCGGGGATTCCCCGCACAACACTACTCAACCTAATAGAGTTGGCGTAAATACGAGTGAGACATTAGAGAAAGCGCGAGTAACAGAAGGTTTTAATATTAACGATTTTTCTCATTCGAGATGATGATCGATAAAAATCAACAAAAGGTTCAATGCTAAGTAAAATTTATGTATTTTTCATTAAAGCATAACTGTTATATTTAATGAATTTTTGGGGTTCTCAGGAGTAAATAAAAAAAAAATTTTTCATTTTGTAAGTCGACCTCCTAGAAGCACTGTTGTGATTTAGGATCCAAAATAGGAAGATACAGTATCAATGAATACACAATTGATCACTCTATCTGGCGCTAAATGATTCAACAAAATAAGTTTCCTTGAGATATTAAACGCTAAAAATATGTCAACACTATTTTATTTTCAAAAACGATTGAATAGTATTTCATTCAATAGTTTTTTCATCAGTTTTTATTTAAAAAACTTGCAAAATTATGTTTAATTGGAAATAAAATTGAATTATTAAATCACTTAAAATGTTGGAAATCAATTGTTATGTTTGATTCAATTGGAGGTAAACTTGAATTTTTATATTTCTTAATCATAGCTGTATAATGTTTGGAATTTGAATCAAAATAAAGATGTAAATCCTCATTTTTTTTGTTAGCAAAAATTCGTAAGTCAGCTGATTTACAGTTTGAGTAAATATTAATAGAACGTTGCAATATTGCCGAAATAATTATAATATCTCTGGTTTTCGCTTGCTTTCTATTTTCTAATATATTATCACTTATTAACGTGTTTGAAATGTTCGCCGGCAATTTTTTTATAAATTCTTTATTTACGAGAAAATGTGCTGCTTCTAAAGATCTCAAACAAGCCATGAGTTTTTCATCTCCATTTAATAGAACTGATATCGCATTATATAAACAGTTTTCATCTCTTGTAGTTTTGATTGTTATGAAATATTTTTGCATCTCTAATGGAATTTCTAATCCATCACTGAGTGTTTTAAATTTAATTGTTCTAAAGTTGAATATTTTTTGTTTAACAAAATTATGCAATTCTTTTATGATTTTCTTGTCACTTTCTTGAATACATTTTGTTTGTTCAAGTCGATATTTCAACCATTTTCCTTCTTCAATAGCTTCTATTGTAGAAAGATGACTATAAAATTGATTACTATCATTATCTGTGGATTTCGCTTTATAAAGAATGCATATCAATTGTTTATGATATCCGAAAATGGTTTCAGAAGTTCCACAATCTAATTTGAAATTGGAAAAAATAATATCTATAGTTGTATTCAAGTTTGTTGTAGTCTCTTGACTTTTCAATTCTGAATTTAACTTTTCAAATCGCAATATATTAAAAAAAGGATGTGAAATATCTCCACTTAAATTTATGTTAAAATCTCCTAAGAAAATGATTTTTTTACAATGTTTTTCACCAATTTCTATCATATTAATAATTTGTTTTTCAATGGTTGAATGTGCTGTCGATAGAGGCTTATAACCTGTACATATTACTAAATCTTTGTATAATCCTGTTACAAGAGAACATGATTGTCTTTTATTTTCTTCATTATAATTAAAAATAATTTCAAATTTTTTATCTGTTCTACAATATATGATTAGTCCATAAGCATGTTTACTACGATCCTGTGCTACATCAACACGATAGATTATTGAATAATTAGGTATTTCGACATTATCATCTGATTTCGTCCAGGTTTCAGCTGCTATAAAAATACATAGCATGTGTAATTTCATAAAATTATTCAGGTCCTGCCAGTGTGATTTTTCATGTAAGCTTTGCATATTTTGGTAAACTATAGTATCTTCATCTTCTTTGTTTATAAAAAGACACGATGGGTTTAATTGATAACTCATAATACGGTTAATTTCTGTTTTTATTTTATCATTTGAATTTTGTGAATGAGGCACTTTTAATTCTCCTACTATGTATAATCCTGTTAATTTTGTACATCGACTAAAGGCAACGTATAATTCATTTTTTCTCATTCCTTTTGTCAAATGTACAGCTATTTCGTTATATGTTCCACCTTGACTTTTATGAATAGTAATTGCTTCTGCTGGTACTAAAGGAAATTGTTTACGAATAACTGTTACAACGATTTTTGTTGGTTGAATACTTTTGCTTATTTTATCAATTGCTGTCTAATTTTTATTTTCTTTCTTACAAATTTCTTGTCGTCTCTTTTTTCCTATCTGTTCATCCGAAAAATCTAACCATACACGAAAAATATTTTTATCACTATTTGATTCGTATCCTTTTAATATTCCTACTGCTCCATTGACAAGACCATCTTCTACATCAATATTGACAGTTAACATATATTTTATGCCAATACTAAGAGTTAACTGAGATGGTAATCCTTGTGCATCTTTTGTTTCTAAAGTTTTAGCTATACAAAGTAACTTTTGAGCCATTTTTTCTGATGCTTTACCTGAAATTTTATCTAATGCTTGAACAGTTTGCTTTAATAAGTCTTTATTGATTAGTTTCATATTTTATTTATCAACTTCTATATTGGTCCGGAATAAATAAATAGCACTACTTGGTATTTTATTTTCGTTAGATATTATACGAGACTTAAAAAGATCTAATTCATCATCTGATAATGTATCATCGGCTAAATTATTAAGAGCTTCAGCGAATTTCACATCATTCTTTTGTCGCATTATTTCTTGTAACTGAAAACTTGTAAATAAAGTCCACAGGGGGTTTCCTATAATTTCTCCGTGAATATCTTTAATATGAGCTTGGAATACATATCTATCTCCTACTAGGGCTAATTGATTAAAATCTCCAAATACAATTATAGATATTCCACCAAACGGTTTTGGAGATTGAAAAATTTGTTTTAGACGACTATATGTGTGTTATCCATACATGCTTGTAAACTTGTAATTGTATTTTTCTGATCTTTAGAACTATATTCTCAGAAAACAGAACACCTGGAAGAAATTTTCATGGTAAAAAATCTTAAACAAAATAATATTTGTTTGATGCCGTAAGATGGACGGCGGAGTTCATAAGATGGTTCACCGTTGCAAGCATGTAATGTGTGTTATCCATACATGCTTGTAAACTTGTAATTGTATTTTTCTGATCTTTAGAACTATATTCTCAGAAAACAGAACACCTGGAAGAAATTTTCATGGTAAAAAAATCTTAAACAAAATAATAATCAACAAAAAAAAACACACTTGTTGTATCATTTTTGAGCCAACCATACTTATTTCATCGATAATAATAAGTTTAAGATCTTTTAATTTAGTATATAATGTGTTTCGGGTGTTACTACTCAATGGACAACGATTTGCTGAACATTGATTCAAAGGTAATATAAAACTAGCATGTAATGTTGTTCCTTTAATTCCAAAGGCAGCTCTTCCTGTGGGAGCACATAGTAATATTTTTATTGAATCTAAATTTGTATTAGTTTTATAATTCATAAAACGTATAAGTGTTTGATAAATTGCATCTATTAGTCTCGATTTTCCCACACCACCTCCTAGGACACAATGATAAAATGGAAAAGATTCTATTTTGAAACAATGCAATACATGTAAAAAAAATCTTCTTTGTTTTTTATTTAGAGAACAAACTAAATCAATATAACTGTTTTCATTAATTAAACGTGGGATTGAAACACAACATAAATCTTTTTCTTTTTTAGGTGTTTCATTGATTATTTTTTGATTAGTTAGATCGATGGCTATATCTCCTTCATGGGAAGAATCATTAAATACCTCTAAATTATTTGGAGTATATCCTTCTTCATTTGTTGTTTCCTGCATTTGTGTTTTGGCTTCATTTAAAATTGTTTCAAAGTCTTCATCATAGACGAATTCTGATCTTTTTTCGTATATTAATTTTTTGTTATTTACAAATAATTCATTAGCAGAAGTCATCATTTTCATTTCATCACGCCAAGGTAAAAATAGCATAACATTTTCTTTGACGAATTCTTCATGATCTATTTCTTTGTTAAAATTCATAAATCTTATTATTTTAGACTTGCTTCTTTTATGAACAAAACCTGAATTATCGACTAGTTTCAAACTTTCTTTGTTATTATCTAATTCTGCATCTTCACTATTTTCTTTATCACTATTTATGGTAATCTTTGAGCTTTTTTTTTTAGAGGAAAAATTATACCAAGCAACGAATGATGCAAGGTTAACATTTTCCAATTCTTTTGGCCGATTTATATAATGATCTATGGTATTTTTAATGTAAATATCAACTGAATTTAAAGGTAATGATTCGAGATCTTTTTTAGATTTGACAATGTTAATTCTTTTTTCAGGTCGATTTGTATTTATAAAAACACATAGTCTGGAACATTTTGATAGAGGTAGAGCAAGAATATAATATACTGCTTCTTGAGCACTAAACTCATTTGCTTTTAAAAATTCATTTCCCAGTATTCTTAATTGTTCTTTCATCGTATAATTCCCTCTTTTTATTTCATTGACTGCATTATACATCAGTCTTGAAAGACCAGAAATCGATTTGTTTAAATAATTCAATACATAAGTTGCACATGAATATATATCTAATATAAACTGTATATCCATATTTGATGAATTTAGATTAAGGTTTTGTTTATTATAAGAATTAATCATGCATTCATCGGGATTTCTACACAAAACATAACCGTTGGACGCTTTAAACCACTACGAATGATTTTAATATAAGTATCATAAGTCAATTTTAGTGTTGTTAACATTTCGTCTATTGTCATGATAATTTTATTCTTGTAATTATCTTCTAGAAATTTTTGAACATTTTCTCGTTGTGTTCGTAATTCTTTGAGTTCTTCATTTTCAATATCTTTTAAAGGCAGTAAAATAGTTGTTTTATGAATTGGAAAAAATGGAATATCAAAACGACATATTTTTTTTTATTCGTACCTTTTTTACAAGTAAATGTATGTTTGTGAGATTGTAGTTTTAAAAGTTCTTCTGAAATATTTTTAGAACATGAAATAAATTTGTCAATAAATTCAATTATAGAAGAATTATCCAAGCTCTCATCATTATATTTAGGAGCATTTTCAAGCCAAAGTAAACAATGGATATGGATATGAGGAGAACCTCTTTGTTGAAATTCAATTCTAATGTAGAAATCAACTATGTTATGATTTATAAAAATACTGTTTTTCTCATTCATCAATATGAATAATTGTCGCATTCGATAGTCGAAATATCTAGCGACTGTAACGGGATCACTACTAATTAATCTTGCTTTTTCTTTATATTCTAATTTCGAAGCTGTAACAAAAATTACGTTCGCACTGACAGTGGAGCGGTCAGTGGACACGTAATATTGTCCAGGTCGCCCAATAAAAAAATAAACAAACAAAAAAAATGACTTGAGAGGGAACTCTTCGCCTCCCAAGCAACCAGCAGCTCTTCCTCAGGCTGGGTTAGTGCACGGTTCTTTTTGGACGCCAGTTGTTCTTTCGCTTGGGAAACAACAAACCCTTTATTTCCAGAGCCGATCCACAGGTATTCAAGGGATAGATAACTAGTATACGAATATCAGGAAAGAAAGGAGAAAGCATCTTACGTAAAATTAAAATATTAATAAATTAAATTCTTAATAATCAGTCGCAATATTAATAAAAAAATAAGCTATTTATTCAAAACACAAAATACTTAAAACTAAGTCCAGAGCCGAATTCCTTTGCCGGTTGGACTAATAATAACAATAATAAATTTGCCGCGTACAATTATAAATAATTAATATAAATCCTGAGTATATTATTTAATTACGACGACGCTGGTTGTAAATTAGAAATTGTCTCTAAAACCATTGAAATGAGATATACCCGAAATCCCCAATCGGGTTATCTCGACAAAATAAATAATACTGACTCGATTAATTAGTACCGACTTTTATGCTAATTTGTTCGCCGGGAGACAACACGGTGCATGGTCAATAAAATGGCTCAACTTGTACTCACCAAAAAAAGGGAACTCGAACACAGGTGCCAGATCCACACTCTTACACTTTGCGGGTTGCCGCGTGTCTCCCGATTTTCATTTTTCTCAAAGCTACGAGACCTCGTGTCCGATCACGAGGACCTCTCACGTCGTTTCCCAAAATTACTGGTCCCTAAACTCGCAATCGATATACTAGGGAATTACCCATGCGAGCAAGGGCTACGACTTATTACCAATAATCAATATTAACAATAAAAACAAAATTATAAACAGTAAAATACAATTCCTAGAATAGATGTCAAAATTAGCACTTAAATACTAATAATAACAATACATAGATTGTCAAATATAAGCAATAATAAAATATATACTATATAAATTAATAATATTAACCAAAAATAGTAAAATTATTAGACACACCGAGTGTGGATCTGTTGCCAACTCTAGGCGCAGAGAGGGACGCACACACGAATAAAATTCGTGTGACAAAGCTTCTGTTACGCTTAATTCTTGTTTATCAATTACTTTTTTCAGAATAACTATTAGCTCAGGCCATTTAGTTTCCACTGCAGATATTGTTAAAAAAAATGTTGGGGGCCCTTGTTGACGAATAAGTGCAAATACACTCCTTTTCTTTTCTTCCCAAAATGATGGCGTTCCCTGATCATGTGACAGTAATTTAAATAAATTATCATTTGCTTCCAATGATTTTTCTTTATTTTCATCAAGCATATCTTTTGCTGTTAAATTAGATTTCATTTTATTTTTTCGTAAACAGAAGTTTATACTCGCAGTCAGTTTAGATACTCTTAATTTTAATGCTGAAAATAATAATTTAATGATATTAGCACATCTTCTATCTGATCGCATTATTTCTGATTTTATCCAATTTTGATATGTTAAATTTTTTGGTTTTTGTATTAATTTTCCCCCATAGATTTTAATAAAACTTAATGTTTCTGTATATTTGTCAAATAACGATACTGGTGTATGACCTTCTCCTGGAGCAAAAATGACTCCTTGAGTCATTAATAATGTTGATTCATCTTCAATGTAAATAGGTTCTTCATCATCAGAACAACTATCTTCGTCATCAGTTTCTCCTTTTTCATTATTTCTGCTATCTTCATTACCTTCATGATTATTATTATTATTATTATTATTATTATCGTGAGAGGATGTGATTTTTGGAGTCGTCTGAAAATTGTAGAACTTCATAGTTAATAGTGTATCAATAAAAGAGAATTATGTATTGTTTTGTTTATAAAGTGATGCTGAACAATTTAATATAATATTTTGGTTGATTAACTAAATTATTTTATTGTTATTTCAACATAAAGTGAAACTGAACTCGGTGAGATTAGAGTGCTGTTGTTTTGTGTGTGTGTGTGCTGGGTAACCGGTACAAATAAATAACAGACAATGAGTCAGATTTGTGGTCATTGTAAACAGAACATAGTGAAAAATCCATTCATCTGCTCATCTTGTAAGAATGTTTTCCACAAGGGCTGTAGAACAAAGAGTCACAAATATGTAAACATGCTGGGTGAGAAGATGCAATGTCCAGGTCATGATCTGGATGATGGCTTGGATACGGAGAGTGTTAGGTCTACGGAAAGTTCAAGCACGAGGAGCGTAAAAAGGAAAAGAACAGAAGGAGAGGAAGGTGATATAGATCATAAATTGGATTTGTTGTTAAACATTCATGATAATATTGAAGGGAATTACGATGCCTTCAAAATGGAAATTAAACAACTTATTAAGGATGAAGTTAAGAGAGAGGTAAGGAGGGAGATGCAGACAGCTAAAAATGATATAGTAAGTGAGGTAACTAAAGCAGTAACTAATGTAGTGCGCAAAGAAATAATGGAATTGAACCGTAGTACAGTGGCGGGAAAGGAAACTAGTGACACCTATGCGGAGCAACTAAAGAAATCACAGATGGAGAGTATCGTCGTAGAACCAAAAAAAAAGCAAGATACGACAGTTACTGTACAGAAACTTAAGAAGAGTGTAGATGTTGGTGGACTTGGACTGGGTGTTGACAGATTGAACGAGACTAGGAATGGGAAAGTAATCATTGGATGCTCACGTGTACTGGTAGAAGAGTTAAAGAAAAATATTGGAAATGAGTACAATATTAAATTGAATGATAAAAAACTTCCAAAATTGAAGATTATTGATATAGAAGAGGATATAATAAAAGAGAAAAGTGAAGAGAAAATTATAAAAATGATACAAAAACAAAATGATTTGACATTGGATCAAAACAGCAAAATGGAAATAAAAAAGAAAGCAGTTGGAAAGAAAAAAGATAGATATATTATTCTAGAAGTTGACTCGAAAATTCATAAAAAATTGTTGGATTTAAACAGGATAAAACTTGGATGGAACAAATGTCGGGTATCAGACTGTGTAAGTGTATTAAGGTGTTACAAGTGCTGGGGTTATCATCATTTTGCAAAAGATTGTAAAACAGGAACTAAATGTAGAAAATGTGCTGGTGAGCATAAGGAAGAGGATTGTAGCAGTGAGGTTAAGAAATATGTCAATTGTATAAAAATGAAAGAAGTATTTAAAGTAGACATTGAGATCAATCATTGTGCAAATGACACTAATTGTGAGTACTATAAAAGAATGAGAAACAGAGCGCAGAAAAGTATTAAATACTGTACTGAATAGCAAAGAATAACAACTAGAAAGCATTCACTAGGAGGTCAGATGTTGGTGATAAACATTCAGGGTTTGCTGTGGCATTTGGATGAACTGAAAAGTTTGTTAGTAAACAAAAGGCCTGATTTAGTATGTGTGACTGAAACGCATTTGACAACTGATGTGAATGAACATGAATATGAGATTAGTAATTATAATAGTGTTAAGATGTTTTCAAGTAGCAGAAGAACAGGAGGAGTAATTATATATGTGAGAAAAGATGTTGAATATGATGTAATTGATACAGTGACTGATAATGTTGACTACGAATTGAATATGTGGATGTGTAGCATATTATTGAAAGGTATATTTAAAAACACAATAATAAGTAACGTGTACCATTCCCCTAATCAGAGTAATGGTATATTTATAGAAAGACTGATACAAGAATATGAAAATCTAAGTGAAAAAAGACAAGTTATTCTAGTGGGTGATTTTAACATAGACGTAAGTAAAGACTCACAATATTCAAAAAAGTTAATTAGAGAAATGAAAAGCGTTGGTATGTGTCAATGGGCAAAGGAATATACTCGTGTGACATCAAACTCCAAAACACTAATTGATCTTGTTTTCTCGAATGAAAGTATAAATAATAAAGTTTTGGAGGTGCCAAGAATCTCAGATCATTTTATAGTGAAAGTGTCTCTTCCAAAAATTAAAAATAAAATCAAATGTTCAAACAGTGATGCAGATATTATTAAATATAAAAGAGACTATAGTCAATTCAATTATGCTAATAATTTAGGAAATATTATACATAATTATTATGATAATTTTTGTAATAATAATATAGAGTATGAGAATGGAAATGCGGAGGTAAAAATCCGTCTTTTAACAGATGTTATTGTTAATAGTATAGATTCAGTAGCTCCAGAAAAAGAATATGTAATTAAAAATAAATGGCAGAATAGTAGATGGTTTAACAGCCACATTAAAAATTTGATAAGTATGAGGGATAATTCTTATAGAGTTTTTAAAAAGGATAATTGTGATGAAGCGTGGGAAAATTACAAAAGTCTTAGAAATACTGTAGTAAATGAAATAAGAAAGGTAAAAACAGAATATTATGGGAATTTGATCGATTCTCAAAAAGGTAATTCAAAAAAATTGTGGAAAAATATGAAATCTATATTAGGAGGTAAAAGTCAAGTAGAAACTAAATTAGAAATTGTTTTCGGTAATGAACTAATCAAAGAAGCTACAGTTATTGCTGATAAATTTAATAAGTATTTTGTTCAAAGTGTTGATGAAATTGTTCATAATATTGATAAGTATAATTATATTGTTGATGACTTTGGGTATGGTGAATCAGTGACAAAACTTGATAAGTTAATAGAAGTTGATGAGAAGGAATTGATTCTATAATTCAAAACTTAGATAAAAATAAAGGTAAAGGAAATGTATTGTCTTATGATAGTAGTGATATAAGGAGAGTTCTGGGACAGGTTACCGACAGCGGTAATTACCGACACTGGTCTGTTTGACCATATCTACGAGGGTTTTTGTTGTAAGTGTTACTGGCGGTCGGTAAAACAGGGTTATTGACGAGTGGTTTTTGGCGGGCTTTTTGAATTTTTTGGTCGGCCATTTCGTGGAGGTTTTAATGTTATTTCTGGGAAATCACTGTTCTTGGAATTTTTTTTTCTTGGTATATTTGAGTGGTATTTTTTCGTGGAATTTTTTCTTTAGAAGAGATGATGAAACAAGTTTGGACTTGTTACGTCATATTCTTGGAATTTCTTTTCCCCCACCAGTCATGCTTAACGTTGATTGGTCGAATGTCAGTTCGAAGGTTCTAGACGCATCCCCTCCCTTTTCCTTGAATCCCCACTTCGTCGTAAATGACGTCACCGAGCAGGTTTGAACTTGCATCAGCCAATCAACGTCGAGCACAAGTGGTGGGGATTAGGGATATATAAGTCTGGTCGTCTGGCGGAGCTCTCAGTCTCTAAAAACCAAGTTTGATGGAGCGTAAATCGTGAAGAAGTCGCTGAAAAAAAAGTTTGAAGTGATTTTGTTCCATTACTGTGTAGTTCTAACCTCTCAAATTTTCTTCAATTAAATATTTTACAAAAAGGTTAGTATAGTTACTTATTCTATATTATCATTGTTTTAATGCTATTGTTTTTATTAATGTTGATAATGTTATTTTCATTACTTCTTTCAGAATAATGGATCTTCAAGCAATCAACAAAGTTAATCGTCTCGAAGACTTTTTACCAATTAAAAAACTTGCTGATTTGACTGTCAATCAAGAGTACTCGATTTCTGAGTTGAAGCTGATAACTACAAAATTTGGAAATCGCGTTGTTGCTGCAATTGAAGGGCTCTATGTTGTATTTTTACCTGCAAGGACAGCGAAACTATTTAAAGATCCGGAAGAAATTAAAAAATGCAATGAAATTGCATTAAAAAATGAGTTATTTTTATTATATCTTGGTGGCGAATTCAACAAATTCGAATTCTTACACAAAAACCAACATTAATTTTCGTATTCGTTAACCATGTAAATAAATACTCTTGAATAATAAATTTTAATTCATAACAAATAAAAAATTTTCATTTGTTTGCATTTATTAGTTTAAGTTTTATTCACTGTGCATGCGTAAAGAACAAACTAAACGTGTGCGCATAAGGAAAAATTTCAAACAAGAACATTCAGTAGAAATAGAACACGCGCGCAATCAAAAGAAAAAAAGGATCGTGCGCATGCGTTTATAATCAGAAAGAGATCCATGGACATGTGCACCAACGTGTGAATAAATTTTTTGATATCATTTTTTTTACTTATTTATTTATTTAATAATTTATTTATCTAATTATTAAGTTATTTATTTAATTATTTACTTACTTGCTTATTGATTAATTTATTTATTTATCTAATTATTTATTGATTTATTTACTTAAGTTTAATATTTACTTACCTCATGTAAATGAAAGGAGAAAAAGAAGGAGAGGACTTATGAAAATGAATGTTATTTTAAATTTTTTTATTTTTTATAAAAAGAAATATTAAAAATTTTATTTTTTTATAAAAACACTAAAATTTTATAAAAATATTATTAAAAACCACACACACACACACACACACATACACACACACACACACACACACACACACACACACACACACACACACACACACACACACACACACATATTATCATTATTTTCTTAAAAAATAGTGAAAAACTAACCTCTCCTTACTGTTTTATTTCTAAAATAATAATAATAATAATAATAATAATAATAATAATAAATAGCAATAAATAAAATACAAAAAAACAGTAAAGAGAGGTTAGTTTTTTATCACAAAAATTGCTTGTACTCAAGAAACTAACCTCTCTTATTAAATTTTTTTTTTAATAATTACAACAATAATTATTATAAAAATTTGAAAAAATTTCAATAAAAGAGGTTAGTTTTCTTTTTCCGACTAGGCTGATTGCTTTTTTTTTTGACATGAATTTTGATTGGATGTTACATGAATCTTAAAAGGTGATTGTTGATTGATTGAATGATTAATTGTTATGGAATGTTGTTGAATCTTAGTAATTGAATGATTGAGGTTGGATAAATGTTGATGAATCTTGAATGGTTGAGTAATTGAATGATTGAGGTTGGATAAATGTTGATGAATCTTGAATGCTTGAGTAATTGAATGATTGAGGTTGAATAAATGTTGATGAATCTTGAATGTTAGTGTAATTGAATGACTGAGGCTGATTGAATGTTGATTGACCTTGAATGCTTGAGTAATTGAATGATTGAGGTTGGATAAATGTTGATGAATCTTGAATGTTAGTGTAATTGAATGACTGAGATTGATTGAATGTTGATTGACCTTGAATGCTTGAGTAATTGAATGATTGAGGTTGGATAAATGTTGATGTGACCTTGAATGCTTGAGTAATTGAATGATTGAGGTTGGATAAATGTTGATGAATCTTGAATGTTAGTGTAATTGAATGACTGAGGCTGATTGAATGTTGATTGACCTTGAATGCTTGAGTAATTGAATGATTGAGGTTGGATAAATGTTGATGAATCTTGAATGCTTGAGTAATTGAATGACTGAGATTGATTGAATGTTGATTGACCTTGACTGTCTGAGAAGTTGGATGACTGAGACTGGATGAATGTTGATGATTCTTGATCAGAAGCTGCTGTCTGCTCCAACTGATAGCTGATGTCATCATCTTCAAAATCAGCCTCGTCAATAGTAAGAGACTGATCAAGATCCTCCAGCATCAGACAGGCTTCCATCAAAGTGTCATCATCATCAAAAGAGATATCACTCAACCCCGAATCGCTCATCTGAGATGAAGATGAAGAAACAATTATTGTTTCATTATTCTCTTCATCATCTTCTTCTTTATCATCTTCTTCTTCATTATCCTCTTCATCATCTTTTTCTTCATCATCATCATCATCATGAGCATTGTAGCATGAGATTGCTAATGATAGTCGACGGAATAATGCAGGGCAAATTAAATATTTCACTTGATCTGGTAAGACTGGGTCACCAGGTATCTGGAAATACCAATAAAACTTGACGTTGTCGATCATTAACAGTGCTGGAATCTTGTTGATGGTGAAGATTGTATCTTCAGATGACAACCCAGCCAGCGAGTTTTCGGTCACTTGCTTCATGATTAATCTCCCCACCTCATCTAAAGTATGGCCCCCCTCCAGCCAAACGTTAGGGTAAATGATGTGATAGTGTGGCATCGTACAATCTGCCATTTTGATGTCTGAAAATAAATAAAAAATTCGAAATAAATGAAAAAAGTTCAAAATAAACAAATAAAGATTTAACAAAAAAAATTAAAAATAAGAGTTCAAAACTCTAAAAAACTGTAAGAAAGAAATCTAACCAAAAAAAAAATTTTCACAGATTAAAATTTTTGAAAAATTTAAAATTTAAACAAAAAAATAATTAAAACCAAAAAATTTCACAAAAAAAATTTTCACAAAAAAATTCACAAAAAAATTTCCACGAAAAAAAAAAATTTCACAAAAAAAATTTCATAAAAAAAAAAAAATTTCACAAACAAAAAAATTCAACAAAAAAAATTTCACGAAAAAAAAAATTCCAAAAAAAAAAATTTCACGAAAAAAAAAATTTCATAAAAAAAATTTTCACAAAACTTTTCACAAAAAAAAAATCCCTAAAAAAATCTAACAAATAAAAAATTTAAACAAAACAAAAAAACGAGGAACGACTGACGCCATTTCATGGTTATTGTCGATTCACTAACCTCAAACACCACACGAAAATCCAAAGGAACAACATCAATCCAATTATATTATTTTATTTATTCAATTTGATTTATTATTCATTTATTTATTGTTTATTATTTATTATTTATTAATTGGATTGATGTTGTTTTATTTAATAAAAAAGTGAACTAAAAAACTTACATTTTTTTAGACTCTCAGTCACACAATCCTCTCCTCCTGGATGTTAGTTGAGGAAGAACTCTCGCAGCCACGATGTCTAGCTTCCACCGGATTTTACTTCTCTCCTCTTTTCCTTTCACTTCTTAACCAATCACAAATTTTAACTTCAGGAAATGATGATAAGATTTCTTGAAGTTAAAATTTGTGATTGGCTGCAACTACATTACCATCACTACTTTATTTTTCAACCAATCACGAATTTTGATTGTTGGAAACATCATGCTCGTTTCTTTACCGGTGTAAGAAACATAAACTAGCGACATCTCGTAGAATAGTTCCTATGACGTTGAAGTTTAAAATGAAGAAATGAATAATTGAACAAATAACAAAACAAATGATTAAATGATTAAATAGATAAATAAATAACTAAGTAAATAAATAAATAACTAAATAAATAACTAAATGAATAAATAAACAACTAAACAACTAAACAACTAAATAAGTAAATAAATAAATGAATAAATAAATAATTAAATGAATAAACAAATAAAAAACTAAATAATTAAATAAATAATTGAATAAATAAATAAATAAATAATTGAATAAATAAATAAATAAATAATTTTTTTTTATAAAATTTTTTTTCTAAAAATTTTTCAATAAAAAATTTTTTTCTAAAATTTTTTCTTTAAAAATTTTTTTTCTAAAAATTTTTTTCTTCAAAAAAAATTTTTTTCCTAAAAATTTTTTTTTAAATCTTATAATAAAAAAGCAGGATATTTTGTAAATTATTATTTTATTGAATTTAATTATTACAAAAATGGCAATCTTTTACATAAGGAATTAAACAATCAAATTCATCATAGTCAATAGCTGTTGGTAGAAAATGTTTCCTGCAACGGCGATACTTCAGAATATCATCATCAGTTTGAAGTTCTTCTGGTAATTTTTTCCAAATTCTGTCAATTTGATCTGATGCATGATGAAGAATGAAGTCCTTCGGTAGAAATGCAATGTCTTCTGCACTCATATAATTGATGTTCTCATACAATTGATAGTAAATTGCTATTGATCGTTTAAAAGAAGAATCTACACAATTTTTTATAAACCAATCTTTTAAACATTTTACATTATTAAAAGCACAAAAACTATCTGTAAATTTATGAAACTTTTTAAATGAACATGGATAGTTTTGTTGGAGAGTGTTAAGCGGAGGACAATCCAGTTGTTTCAAATTGATGACGAGTTTTTTATGACCAAACATGGTTTCCAACCATTGTTTTTTAGCTGAACCCTTGACATATATATAACTTCTGTCTTTAACAATAATATCGAGAATATACTTTACATTCTCATATGGAATAGTTCCAGAGCTCCAATCAAGTCCATGATGACGATCAGTCAACCATTTATTTTGTCTCTTTTCAAATTCACTTAAATCATCAAGCTTGCATGGTGGTTTGAACAATAAACAAGTAGAATCTTCAAAATTATCAATATTATCTTCAATTGTAACACTAGAAAGTTCTTTAACCACAAAAAAATTAGACACAATGAAACCTTGTACATCTATAATGATGGCAGCCATTTTGTTAACGTCTGCTCGCGAGCAACGTAGGCTTAAGACTGACTAAAAATTCTACAGTAGATATAAAAGAACGATTTATTTTTGCAGGAACCCTAAGTACGTTGAATTATCAAGAACCAAAAAACCGTCAAACATGTTCTCAGAATGAAATATACGTTAAGATTCTGATAAATGCTACAGTTATGCTCTCTAAAACCGTTAGACTCGTTCCCAGAATAAAATATACTTTGAGATTCCGATAAATGCTTCAGTTATGCCATCTTAAAACCGTTAGACTCGTTCCTAGAACCACAAGTACGTTGGTTCTTATAAAATTTTAAGACACACCCTCCTTGTACCGTTAGAATTGATCTTAGAACAAAAATATATGTTGGTTCCAACGAAAAAATATCTTAGCCACGCCTCTCCCCTCTCCTCAACCATTGGACGCTGATGAAGAATATTCAACTAGCGCCACCTGTGAACATGATATTCACTCTTTGCTCCTCCCATTTATGACATTTTACCAACTAATAAAAATTATTCGAACTAGTTCTAACTCGTTTTTTCGGGAAATACTGAAATACTGATGCAATAGTTCCAAAATTTCCCCCATTTCAAGACTTTTTGCGGGATATATAAGGGAGACCAGTTTAATCAGCGGTCATAAGCAGTTCAACTAGCTGTGAGTGAACATAACCTATCTTCAAAGTTATACTCAAGCCAAGTGTAAAGTTATACTCAAGCCAAGTGTAAAGTTATATATTCAAGCCAAGTGTAAAAGTTATACATCCTTTGTGATAATTATTACGTGTCTGTTTTTTTATCATTTTTTTTGTGAAAAAAAATGGATACCGATGTATACAACGACATTCTCCAAGCCATGGAAAGTGCGTATGACGAACTTCCCAGTTTGTCACTTGATACTCATAATCAGATAATTATGAGAGGTTCCAAAGACAATTGCATGGTGTAGTTCGTGGTGGTAGTCTAGATCCTCATCAGCAAGTACAATTGAACGACCAGCGAGTTATTTGGCGTGATGTTGAAAGTGCGTTTGCCAGTAGAATTCGTACTGGTATGGTTGTGAATCTGCTTCACATTGATCTCAAAGCCTTTCTTCTTGAAGCTAAAGAATTAATTATTGAGCAAATAAATAATGCTCTGCAGACAAACGGTAGTATCAAAGCCAACGTCATTTTAACTTGCACTGTTAATTTTGGAAAACAGCTGCTGAAGAACAAGTTGTAGAAACGAAGACATTTACAACCAAAAATGAAGCTGTTTTATCATCAACCAACATTAGTGATTGGGTTGATGAGTTTATCATTGATCGTCTCCAAGCAAACGTTGAAGATTTCGAGCATCGTGATTCTGAATGGTCACTTTTGGAAATTCTCAACATAACTCTCAACATCAACAAATGGGTTCCACTTGAAGGTGGAAATGGTTCAACCTACACTACTTTGCCGAAGAGTATCAAGGATAAGAAAGCTATCGTCAACATCCACAACAATGACAACTTGTGCTTCCTGTGGGCTGTTGTTGCCGCTCTCTATCCTGCTCCTGATGGTAAAAATGTAAGTCGAGTTACATCATATCCACACTATAGTCGAGTTCTTAATTATTCCGGGATAAAATTTCCAATTAGTCTTAAAGATATTCCAAGATTTGAAAAAATGAACAGTTTATCGATAAATGTATATGGTATTGAATCAGAAAATGTAGAATCCGAATATGTAGATAATGTTGATAATGAGCTATGTGTGATAGTGCCACTTTATTTAAGTAAGAAAACCTTAGATGATGATGATGATGATGATACAATTCACCTTCTTATGGTAGAAGTTCAGTCAGATGATACAAAAATGAATATTGATGATGATAATTTCGAGAATAGAGTCAATAACTTTGAACGTAAATTTCATTTTGCAACAATTCAAGATCTCTCGCGATTGTTAAGTAGTCAAATCTCACAACACAACGGCCGAAAGTTCTTTTGCGATCGATGCTTGTGCCATTTCCAAGATGCAATTGTATTTAATAAACATCGTCGGGATTGTATTCAAATTAATAAAGTTAAAATTGAGCTTGCAATTGATGAGAAAGTTAGTTTCAAAAATTTTAAATATCAGGAAGATGTACCGTTTGTCGTTTATGCCGATATCGAGTGTCTAATTGTTCCAAAAATTGATGAATCTGAAGAGCATGTCCCGCATAGTGTAGCTTTTTATGTTCATTGTTCATATGATGATAGTTTATCTAGATTTGAATGTAATCGTAGAGAAAAATGTATTGAGTGGTTCATGGATCAATTAAAGTCTTTAGCTATTTCAGTTAGTAAAATAATTGAATATCCAATTAAAATGTTTCCTCTTACTGATGATGAAAATATTAAATACAATAATTCTACTATTTGTCATATATGTAATAAATATCTTGCTCGAAAAGATAAATGTAGAGACCATTGTCACTTTACTGGTAAATTTCGCGGTGCAGCTCACAAAAAATACAACATTTTGTACCAACAGTCTCACAATATTCCGATTGTATTCCATAACCTTTCCGGATATGATTCACACTTCATTATCGAGTCAGTAGCTAAATGTTTCCCCGGTTCAGTTTATTTGTTACCCATCAACAAAGAAAAGTACATTGCTTTTACTAAAAAAGTTGATGGTACAATTATTCAATTACGATTTATAGATTCCTTCAGATTTATGGCGAGCAGTATCGAAAAATTGGCATCTTATCTCAATGATGCTGATTTGATAATTACTCGCAATAATATACCAGACCCCCAACAGTTTGCATTAGTCACACGGAAAGGAATTTTTCCGTATGAGTTTGTTGACAGTTGGGACAAATTAAATTACACTCAATTACCAGATCAGCATAAATTTCTCTCAAAATTAAGTAATTCAAATGTTTCCAATATAGACTATGAACATGCACAAAAGGTATGGAATACGTTCAACATTAAGACTTTGGGCGAGTATTCTGATTTGTATTTAAAAACTGATGTTTTATTATTATCTGACATTTTTCAAAACTTCCGTAAAACGTGTAAAAAGACATACAATTTAGATCCGTTGCATTACTTCACAGCTCCCGGCTTAGCTTTTGATGCAATGCTAAAGTATACTCAAGTTTCTTTAGATCTTTTGAATGATCCAGCCATGTTGCTATTTTTTGAGAAAGGTATTAGAAGCGGTGTTGCTCAATGCTCAAATAGATATGCTCACGCTAATAATCCATTTATGGGTGATGAATACAATCCCGACAAAGAAAATTCATACATTATGTACTTTGATGTAAATAACTTGTACGGTGCAGCGATGAGCCAGTGTTTACCTACTGGTTCATTTAAATGGGTTGATGCATCATTAGATTTTATTCTTCAAACTGCTGATGATAATCCAACTGGTTACATCTTGGAAGTGGATCTCGAGTATCCAAAGCATCTACATGAGAGTTATAAAGACTTGCCTCTTTGTCCTGAGCGCTTTCTCCCACCCAATAGTAAATGTGAAAAATTAGCTACAACATTACATGACAAAAACAACTATGTAATTCATTACTGTAGCTTAAAACAATGTGTACAGCTAGGTATGATTGTAAAACAGATTCACAGAGTCTTGAAATTCCAGCAATCTCCATGGTTAAAATCATATATTGATCTAAACACAGAGTGTCGTAAAAAAGCAACTGATGAATTTGGTAAAAACTTTTACAAATTAATGAACAATGCTGTATTTGGTAAAACCATGGAGAATGTTCGGGATCATAAAGATGTTAAGTTGGTGGGTACATGGGGTGGGCGATGGGGTGCAAGATCATTAATTGCAAAACCAAACTTTCATAGTTGTACCATTTTTGGTGAAAATTTAGTAATTATTGGAATAAACAAAGTTAGAGTAACATTCAATAAGCCCATCTACGTAGGCTTTTGTATTCTCGATTTATTAAAAATCATTCTTTATGACTTTCACTATAATTACATAAAAAAATCGTTTGCTCCTGATCAAGCTAAACTCCTTTATACAGACACAGACCGTCTGATTTATCATTTTTGTGTTGAAAACATCTATGAAAATATTAAACAAGATATTAATCGTTTTGACACTTCCGATTATCCTGAAAACAATGTCTATGCCATTCCTCAGGTTAATAAGAAGGTGCTTGGTAAAATGAAGGATGAAAACAATGGCAAAATAATGGTAGAGTTTGTTGGACTTCGCGCCAAATTGTATGCTTTCAAAGTAAATGATGATAATGATAAGAAAAAAGAAAAGAAACGTGCAAAAGGTGTCAAACATAGTGTATTAAAAACTATTGCGTTTAATGACTTTATTGAATGTTTAATGAACCATAAAGATCTCAAAGAAGATCAATACTTGATTAGGAGTAAACAACATAAAGTGTGCACTATCTCACAGCCAAAGCTTGCATTATCTTGGAATGATGACAAGCGATGTCTTATTGAAGGCCAAACTGATACGTTGCCTTGGGGTTTTTGCGAATAATTGTACTTTTGTATTTGATAGTAAAAAATTTTGTATTAAAACTTACATGTATGCATGTGTGTGATAAAAAAAACATTGTATATATGGTATGAATGGAAAATTGTTTTGTAAAACAAAAAAAATATTTTTTTTATTAATAAAATTTATTGTTAAAAATATTTACAAGTCTTTTTTATTTATCCAACTGTTATGTTTACTATCAAATCCTAACCATTTAACGTACAGTTTATTTCCATGTTCACAAATAACTTTTTCAATAAGATAGACGTCTGGATATTTCACTTTGCTGAGTTCTTCTTCATAGAATCCACCTTCGATTGGCTGATTTTGATAATCAATTAGTTTGCAAGTTGTTGGATTGGTGTTTTTTACTTGAGTAATTGTAAAAATTTCCGTAGTCCAATTGGGTGTGTAACCTTTTTCAAAGATGTGTTTGTATTTTGTGATGCGAACTTTATCTCCAACCTTGAATTTTTTCTTTTTCTTTGATTGACTCATCTGCAGCGGTTGATAGATGTTGACAAATAAATCTTTGACATTTGCAATGGTAACATCTTTCGGTTTCATTTTGATTGTTCGGTGCTTTGTGTTGTTATATGTAGCAACCAAATCAGATAGAATATCCAACCATTTGTAAGTTCCACGAGTTGTAAACTTTACCCACATTTTATTTTTCAGAGTCCTGTTGAATTGCTCACAGATTGATGCTTTGAGATTGCTGAAGGTTGAATACATGTTGATTCCATGTTGCTTCATCAAAGCATTGAATTCACTGTTGTAAAATTCTTTCCCCTGATCCACATGTAGATTTTGAGGAACTCGTCCTTGTTTTAGCACTGATTTCATAGCATTAGACACATCTTGAGCATTTTTAGTCTTCAAAGGAACAGCCCAAGCAAATTTTGAAAAAATATCAATAATGGTAAGTATGAACTTGTGTTTATTGTTTGTTGATGCATAAGCACTCATATCAACAAGATCAGCTTGCCAAGTTTCATCAAGTCCACGTATATCAACATGTCGTCGTGGATACTTTTTTCGAGCTGGAGCATGGAGCTCATTTGCTATTGTTTCTTTTACATTGGAACTCATCGTTTTTTAATTACAATTCATCATGAACGTGTATAGAATTACTTAAAATTGATTTGTTTGATGCTTGAACCTGTCTCATGGAAATTTTATTTTCTCCTGCTTTACTTGAGAAATTTTTTTCTAATGCTGTCACTCGGGCTTCTAAGTTTTGAATGATTACATCAATGTCTTGTCGCATCAGCAAGCTTCCTTCATTTAATGATTGAACTTCATCTCTAATAAGATTTTGAGCAACTCTCAGATATAGCGTCTTTAGAATCCTCGCATTCAGCCAAATTACACAATCGCTTATCCTCTAAGTTGAAATGACCATCATCTGTGATTCTAAATCCAGGTCCTGGTGGTCCACGACGACCAATTTTTGATGATTTATTTTTTTCCAATTCACGTCCAAATATGTCGATACTCATCGTTCGAATGCTGGAGCAACAGTGATCAATTTCAACAGCTAGCACTATATTAATAAATTATTTCAGCTTCACGAAGTTCTTCCATGATAGAGATGATTTCATTAGCATGACTTGTATTTCCAGCTGCTTGGGACGCCATCAGTAGGCGAAGTCGATCAACAATTTCATTAGGATCATCCCAATAGACATAATCCATTTTTGCGCTAACTTGTGTCGCTACTATATATTTTGGTAGTCCTTTACCTTTGCTTCTGGATGATGATTTGACATGCTTTGCGATGTAATTCTTGAATTTAAAGCTTTTTGCATCTCGAATACTACCATTGATGTCATATTTTTTCTTATGTGCATTTGTTTGCTTGATTATAAGACCATAAGTTTCTGAATCATTGCTCGAAATAAGAGAACTGTCTGGTAACTTTTTGAATAATAATTCTATCAGCCCAGGTGTCTTGGTATAAGTTTGATCACCTATGCGGATGTTATCATCAAGGAATGTAATTTCAGAATCACCAAACCTCAAATGTCCTTTCAGTTTTCGCACACCAGTGTGCATATCCAATGTTTTATGTTTTGTTTTTAATAATCTTAAATATTTTGATAATGAATCTTTCTTATCATCTCTGATTGGTGTGCTTGAAGCTGCAGGATTTTTATTATAAATAATTGTTGAATCGTCACCTAAGCTCTTATAATCAGATCCATCCGTATCTTCTTCACTAAAAATATCATCATCATCATCTGTTGCTGTCCTAGGGTCCACCTTTACAAGCATGGAATGTGAGTGAATTCCATACATGTTTGTAAATTAATTAAAATTCATTAAAATTGATTCCAACGAATTGAAATGAATTAAAATTAACTAAAATTAATAATTTCGTTAAAAATAATATTTTTTTTTTTGTTGTTATTGTTGAATTCTGTTTTACTTTTTGTAATGATGTTGTGTTGAATGTATCAGCTGTAATTCCTTCTTTTATTTGATTCGAGAAATCCAATAATTTTTGTAAAGGTTTCACAACAGGTTTGAAAATTTCATTTGCAGCTTGTTCATCATTGTCTTTGTTTAATTTGATAAGTTTATGCTTTCGACGAATTATTTCACTCGCCTTAGCTATTTGCCTCAAAATGTCACTCTGTTCACGTAATTTTTCACTCTTCATGTTGATAGCTTGAAGATCAAAATGTAACTGAACAACATTCAGTCATCACGTATACTTATAAAAGTATCAAATCCCTTCCTGTATCGTCCACCGTTGAGTTCACTGTCTTTATCAATCATAATGAAATTAAATTTATCGTGATTCC